CTCCGTCTCCTCCTCGTCTTGGTACTCCTTTTTCTTTTTTTCCCCACATGCTTCGTGGGGTTCTGGTTTTCTTCCCTGCCGCGCCGCGCCCGCGTCTCCCCCCCACACCCGCCCTCCTCCCCTCCTCCTCCTCCTCCTCCTCCTCCTCCTCCTCCTCCTCCTCCTCCTCCTCCTCCTCAGCACAGCGCAGCACAGCACAGCAGACCGCAGCACAGCATAGGACAGCACAGCACAGCTCAGCAGAGCACAGCACAGCACGTCTCGGCGACACGCGTCTACATACAGCCGCACGCATGCACACACTCGCACACACAAGACGACACCAGTCCTGGCATAGCAGGCGTGGCACTTTCTCGACACCATAGGGGGTGCGCAGGGGGTGGTCTCTCGCTGCGGTCTCTATACGCCCCAGTCGTCCTGCTATAGCAGGCGTGGCCCCAGTCGTCCTGGCATAGCAGGCGTGGCACTTTCTCGACACCATAGGGGGTGCGCAGGGGGTGGTTTCTCGCTGCGGTCTCTATACGCGCCGGTCGTCCAGGCATAGCAGGCGTGGCACTTTCTCGACACCATAGGGGGTGCGCAGGGGGTGGTCTCTCGCTGCGGTCTCTATACGCGCCGGTCGTCCAGGCATAGCAGGCGTGGCACTTTCTCGACACCATAGGGGGTGCGCAGGGGGTGGTCTTCTCGCTGCGGTCTCTATACGCGCCGGTCGTCCAGGCATAGCAGGCGTGGCACTTTCTCGACACCATAGGGGGTGCGCAGGGGGTGGTCTCTCGCTGCGGTCTCTATACGCGCCGGTCGTCCAGGCATAGCAGGCGTGGCACTTTCTCGACACCATAGGGGGTGCGCAGGGGGTGGTCTCTCGCTGCGGTCTCTATACGCGCCGGTCGTCCAGGCATAGCAGGCGTGGCACTTTCTCGACACCATAGGGGGTGCGCAGGGGGTGGTCTCTCGCTGCGGTCTCTATACGCGCCGGTCGTCCAGGCATAGCAGGCGTGGCACTTTCTCGACACCATAGGGGGTGCGCAGGGGGTGGTCTCTCGCTGCGTCTCTATACGCGCGGTCGTCCAGGGCATAGCATGGCACTTTCGACACCATAGGGGGTGCGCAGGGGGTGGTCTCTCGCTGCGGCGCGCCGGTCGTCCAGGCATAGCAGGTGGCACTTTCTCGACACCAGGGGGTGCGCAGGGGGTGGTCTCTATACGCGCCGGTCGTCCAGGCATAGCAGGCGTGGCACTTTCTCGACACCATAAGGGGTGCGCAGGGGGTGGTCTCTCGCTGCGGTCTCTATACGCGCCGGTCGTCCAGGCATAGCAGGCGTGGCACTTTCTCGACACCATAGGGGGTGCGCAGGGGGTGGTCTCTCGCTGCGGTCTCTATACGCGCCGGTCGTCCAGGCATAGCAGGCGTGGCACTTTCTCGACACCATAGGGGGTGCGCAGGGGGTGGTCTCTCGCTGCGGTCTCTATACGCGCCGGTCGTCCAGGCATAGCAGGCGTGGCACTTTCTCGCGCAGGGGTGGTCTCTCGTGCGGCAGTCGCTGGCACACCATAGGGGGTGCGCAGGGGGTGGTCTCTCGCTGCGGTCTCTATACGCGCCGGTCGTCCAGGCATAGCAGGCGTGGCACTTTCTCGACACCATAGGGGGTGCGCAGGGGGTGGTCTCTCGCTGCGGTCTCTATACGCGCCGGTCGTCCTGGCATAGCAGGCGTGGCACTTTCTCGACACCATAGGGGGTGCGCAGGGGGTGGTCTCTCGCTGCGGTCTCTATACGCGCCGGTCGTCCTGGCATAGCAGGCGTGGCACTTTCTCGACACCATAGGGGGTGCGCAGGGGGGGGCTGCGGTCGGTCGTCGCTGCGGTCTCTATACGCGCCGGTCGTCCAGGCAGGGGGTGCGCAGGGGGTGGTCTCTCGCTGCGGTCTCACGCTTTCATAGCAGGCGTGGCACTTTCTCGACACCATAGGGGGTGCGCAGGGGGTGGTCTCTCGCTGCGGTCTCTATACGCGCCGGTCGGGAATCACTGCCGTGCCATGCCTTTCGTCGGCGCCGTGCCGTGCCGTGCCGTGCGCGGCCGTGCAGGAGTTGCGAGGAGGAGGAGTTGAGAGGAGTGCGGAGGAGTTGTGAGGAGGAGGATTTGAGAGGAGTGCGGAGGTGTTCAGAGGAGCGCGGAGGAGTTGAGAGGAGTGCGGAGGAGTGCAGAAGGAGGAGTACAGAAGGATATGAGAGGATGAGTTGAGAGGAGTGCGGAGGAGTTGAGGGAAGTGCGGAGGAATTGAGAGGAGTGCGGAGGAGTTGACAGGATGGGGTGGGACGAGGAGGAGGAGGACGAGGAGGAGGAGGAGGAGGAGGAGGACGACGACGACCACGAGTGCGGCGACGAATACAACGAGCACTACCAACACAACGAGTACGACGACGTCGGGTGCGACGACGACGAGTGCGACGACGAGCGCGACGAGCACGACGACGAATGCGAAGTCGAGTGCGACGGCGAGGTACGACGACGAGTACGATGACGAGTAAGACGATAGAGCGGCAACGAGTACGACGACGAGTACGACGAGTACGACAACGAGTACGACAAGTACGACGACGATTCGCGACGAGGGTTTAGAACGCAGCATTGCGCATAGATGATAATGACAAGCAAACACATAAGATTAAACATCAGTATGTGGGGTTCCTCGGTAGCGTAATTTTTGTTCTCTCTCCCTCGCTCTCTCTCTCTCTCTCTCTGTCTCTCTCCCTTTCTATGTATATATATATGATATAAACAAATACCGCTTCCTGGGCTCCGCCCACTCCGCTGCCATTTCTGGCAAATCCCCGATGCTACCCTCCTCGCTGTCCAAGAGAGAGTTCCCGCAGGGCCTGAAGGCGGCCCAGGACGCCCCCGAGACAGCCCAAGAGTGCTCCAAGGCTGTCCAAGACGGCCCCCGACGGCTCTGGAGGCCCCCAAAAGCATTCAAGATCAGCCCACGAGGCCTCCAAGAGTCCCCCAAGAGCTCTGGTGAACCCCTCGAGATGCTAAAGTCATTGGAAACCAACGGAAGATCAATGGTTTTCTGTTTTCTCGCACTTCCGCCTACGACACGCTTCCGAGGCTTGCGCAAGTCCCTCAAGAGAGCTCCAAGAGGCTCCCAAGAGGCGTCTAGAGCGGCGCGAAGTGGCCCCGAGAGGCCACGAGAGGTCTCCATGACTCCCGAAGGGGCCCTACCGAGGCCCCCAAGACGCTGGCCATTGTCCCTCCTCACTCCTCCTTCCTACTTGTCTCTCCTTTCCCCCCCTCTCTCAGCTCCCCTCATGCTTTTTCGGCTTTCCAACGCTCCAAGACGGCCCAAGAGGTCACCAAGACTGCCCAAGGCGTCCCCGCGACGGCCCAAATACGACCCAAGAGTGCGCCAAGACTGCCTAACAGGCCGCCAAGACGGCCCCAAAGCCCTCAAGACGGCCCCAAGACAGGGGCAACAGCGGAGATCTAATTTGACATTTCGAGCCCAGACGCCAGAGCCCCGGGGAGGCCCCCGAGGCGCCCCCAAAAAGTTCCAAGAGGCCACCAGGCGACCCCCAACAAAAACCGGAGAGGCCCCACCCCCCAGAAACCCTCAAGAGCCCTCCAAGAAGGTCCCCCAAAGGCATCCAAAGAGACTCCCGGCATGGTTTTGCCAGGTTAAGTGCTCTCGGGCATCCCCCCTTAGGCTGCCCTGGGTCCTCGTGGCTGCCTTGCGCGACTTCCTGGACCCTTCTTCAGCGAGTCCCGAAGCGTCCATCAGGGAAAACGCTCCCATATGGTGATCCTTTCGGGATGATGTCCATATTCATCATATCCTGTCAGAATGGTCCGTCTAATCGCGCGCGAAGCGCAAGTGCTTCTAGTATGCGTGCATACATATATGTGTACACACATGCGTGCATATACGCATGCATGTATACCGATATGTATGTATGCAGGTATGTATGCATGTATGTATGTATGCATGCATGTATGCATGTATGTTTGAATGGTTGTACGCATGTATGTAATTGTGGATGTGTGTATGTATGCATGTAAGTCTTCATGTGCGTATGTATGTATGCATGTAGGTATGCATGCATGTATGCGTTTATAGGTAATTGCATATATGTGTATACACACATATACATATACATATATATATATATGTGTATGCATGTCTGCATGTATCGATGTATGCAGGCATGACTGTATGTATGGATGTATGTATGTACGTGTACATGAGTGTATGTATGCGTGCATGTATGTGTGCGTATGTACATGTGTGTATGTATGCATGCATGTATGTATGTATGTTTGTATGACTGTATGTGTGTATGTATGTATGGATGTGTGCATGTGTATGTTTGCATTCATGCATCTGTGTTAGTGATGTTATGTGTATGTATGCATGTATGTATATATGCGTGCATGTATGTATATATGCATGCATGCATGCATGCATGCATGCAGACAGGCATTCATGCATGTATCTGTGTATGTATGCATGTATGCGTATAGTGTGTAAGTGTGTGTGTGTGTGTGTTTGTGTGTGTGTGTGTATGTTTGCATGTATGTATGTAATTGTGTGTATGTATGCATGCATGCATGCATGCATGCATGCATGTAGGTAGGTAGGTAGGTAGGTAGGTAGGCAGGCAGGCAGGCAGGTAGGTATGTGTGTATGTGTGCATGTGTGCATGTGTGTATGTGTGTATGCGTGTATACATGTATGAATGTATGTGTGCATGTGTGTATGTGTGTATGTATGTCGGTATGTCTGTATGCTTGTATGCTTGTATGGTTGTATGTATGTATTTCCCCCCTCTCTCTGCTTTCTCTGCGATGGTGCCTCGCTCCCTCTTCCCCCCTGGCCTCCTCCGCCGGTGCCGGGCCCCAGGGCCTTCACAGGTCGACGCAGCCCGTCGCGGTCCCGCGCGTTGCTCCGTTGACGCGTCGTCGGCTCTCTGTCTGGGAGAGGCCACGGGCCCCGCCGCGTGCGGCCGCGCGGGCGCGCCCGCGCGCGGCCGCGGGCCTGCCCCGCGTCCATGGGGCAGGCGCCGGCCGGCGCCGGCTCGGCGGCGGGCATCGCCGCGGACGAGCTCGCCTCGGGCCTGCCGCAGGAGCCTGGCGGCCGAGGCGACTGGCCGGCTGACCGGTCGGGCGCTCCGTGGTGGGGGAGGGATGGTGATGTGCATGGGGCCGGAGGGGGGTTCGCCTTCGAGGGTCGACGGAGTTGGCATCTCTTCCTCGGCAGAAGGGCGGCGAAAGCTTCGGCGGAAGCAGGCGGAAGTAAAGATCTGCCTCCCAAGAGGTGGCAAGGTTGTTTCGGTTCAGAGATTCTGGAACCCGCCCAATGGGTGGATGCACCTTTCGTGCACCGCTGGGGCCCTAGAGGGGCCCCCCTGGGACCCAAAAGGTGCATGAGAGATGCACGCTTGCCCCCCCCCCCCCCCTCCGTTGATCGCCCCCCATCCAGGCAACGCCCAAACAGGGGGTGCGGGGCGTCCGCGGCGCGTCGTCCGCGGACGGCCCGTCGCGCGCAGGGGCGGGCCGCAGGCGCCGCCAGCGAGGTCCAGCGCCAGGGCCGGGAAGTCCGCGCGCACCGCCGAAGCTGCATGTTTGTGATGCCAGCGGCGCCCCCCCCCGCCGCCGCCTGGCCCCGCTCTTAGTTGGCCCAGCTTTCGTCTCCCTCCTGCCACCGCCGGGCGGTCCTCCTCTCTCCCCCGTGCATTGCGGCTCAATTCACATTCGTATGCCCTACCAGTGCCCTTCCGCCAGCGCAGTCACTCTGCCAAGCCGCCGACGTATCAAGCTTGTGATGCCAGGCCAGCCGCACCCTCTGGCATGCCGCCCCCGCGCTCCCGCCCTTGGCTGGGGCCAGCCTTCTGGGCTGAACGAAGCGCGAGTCGAGTCGAGGCGAGTCGAACTTGCCGACAGGAGCTGGACTGGGAGAAGCTCATCACCCACGTCTTCAGGCCCGAGCACCGTCCCGTGCTGCTCCTCACCAGCAGACAGCAGCTGCCCGCAGCCGCCGGCAGCGGCTCCAGGCCTCGGGGTGGCCGGGAGCCCTGAAGCAGCATTGCAGGGAGGAGACTGGGCCAGGGGGATCGGGGCTTGCCAGGGCCAGGAGGATCGGGGTCAGAGCAGCAGGAGGAGGAGGAGGAGGAGGTGGAGTAAGGAGGAGGCGAAAGAAGGAGGAGGATGAGCAGGAGGAGGTGGTGGAAGGACGAAGACGAAGAGGAGGTGGGAGAAGGAGGTGGGGAAGGAGAAGGTGCGGGAAAGAGGAGGTGGGGGAGGAGGAGGAGGAGGAGGAGGAGGAGGAGGAGGAGGAGGAGGAGGAGGAGGAGGAGGAGGAGGAGAGGAGAGAGGAGGAGGAGGAGTAGGAGGAGGGAGGAGGAGGAGGAGGAGAGGAGGAGGAGGAGGGGAGGAGGAGGAGGAGGAGGAGGAGGAGGAGGAGGAGGAGGAGGAGGAGGAGGAGGAGGAGGAGGGTGAGGAGGTGGGGGCAGGAGGAGGAGGAGGAGGGCCCCCTCCGTGAGGCCACCTCGAGTGCCCCCCCGAGGCGACAGCCCCATGACGACCACGCGCACCCAGGAATGGAGTAGTTGATCCCGCGCTGGCCCCTTCACCCTGGTCAGGGCGTCGAAGGTCTGGGCACGCTTTCTCCAAGTCCGTGTTCACGTGTGGGGTGCGTCTGTCGTTGGTTGGCCCCATCGTCGTGCGAGGGCCGCACCTATCTGGGATTACCATGGAACTGCAGCGCTCTGAGCTGTTGCGCAGACAGCCTTGAAAGGGAGTCTACAGTCGGGGCGCTGAAGAAGGAACCCTTTCCGTTGGGGAGGGGCTTCGTGTTTTTTTATTTGTTTCGCAGTTTGCCTTAGGTTGTCCTTCGGTTTTCGATGGGAAATCGAAGTCTACTTTACGGACAAAACGGGCCTCTTTCGTGTTGGCTGGCCTCAGCAGGCCTCCAGGATAGCTCAGGACGGGTCGCAACACCCACGCACCGCCTCCTCGGCGGCGCGGGGGCGCTTGGGTGCGACTCCAATCCGTGCCATTCCTCTATGGCACTGCGCGTTCGTGGGGAGAAGCGTGCTCCCTGGCCGCCTTCGGGACGATGCGGAGAAGCGCGCTCCCTGGCCGCCTTCGGGACGACGCCGCAAGATCCAGGGTGCCCCTTGTGTCATTGCTGCTGCGCTTTCGTTTGTCCTGGGAAGACCCTTGCTCGATGATCCACAGGATGTGTTTGCCCAGTGCGCGTTCCACCGATCGGGTCCACCGATCGCACGCAAATTATGCAGGCCTGAAAGACTTTACCTCGGTCGAATTGAGGGTCACTGGTGGACACGCACACGGTGGCGCTAACCCACGTGATCACCGACTGCGACCACCATCGGCTCGTACTGAATCCACGCAACGAGCAGACAGCTGGCCTCTCCTTTCAGAGATCGTGCCTTCCTCCCTTCCAGTGGTGAGCGCACTGTTTCTCTTCTGGGGGCTCCGGCCCGACCCTGCAGCACCCGCGCGGTGCGTGGTGCCCCAGGCGCAGACATGCGACGTCCTGAGTTTTTCAGGGCGGCGTCCCCGGAAGTCCCGTTCCTTTCCCCAGGACCGGCTGTTCGTCCCGAGTCGTTCTTGACGGCCCCGGGGCCCGGCGAGGGCCCCGGACAATTGCGAAAAACCTTCCGTCCTGATTGAGTAGCGACGCGAGCATATTGTCTGGGGCCGTTCGTCCGTTCGCTCTTTCGTTCGTCCGGGTGTCCTCTGCGATCGGGCCCGACCGTCGGGGGCACCAAGCGACCTCCTCGCCGATCCCGGCCAGGCCCGGGATCCGTGAGCCCGCCCTCCTGGGCCTGGCCTGGGAGGCACATGCGCTTGAGTCGGGCCTGTCCCTCCACAGGAGTAATATTCAGAATTTGTCAACGAGTAGTCTGGGGATGATTATCCGACTGCTTTTTTCGACCATTTTGGGGTATTTTTTGGGCTAGTTTGGGAAGTGGTTCCTCCATAATGCAAACTCTCTACGGCTTTGCGCCCTGCCCGCCAACAGCGCGGCGCTTTCGAGCCGCTAGGGGTCGTTCACGGTGGCCATTCAGTTTGTTATAACCATCGATCCTCGATTTAAGGGCTTTGATGTTGGCGTTGACCCTGTAGGGTAATCCAAAGGTTCCGCCGCAATCGCTACGTTTGCCTGGTGTGATTAGGCTGTGAAGGCAAGCGCTCAAGCGGACAGGAATCGTTTTTTCCCCCGATGCGTCTGATCTGCAGAAAAAAGTACGCCGATCAGGATCCTGGTCCCCGGAGCGGCCCGGCCAGGCATGCGCAAGGGATTCGAAGAAGGGACACGGCACAAGCGCACGGTGGGGACCTTCGCTGAGGAATCTGCAAAGGAGGCTTCAGACCCTGGAGGCTTCCTCATCGCATTGGAGCGGCGGTGGTTTTCCATGGCCAGTCCACGATGGGTGCGCCACCGGCCTCCAGACCCTGGATTCCTCATTCAGTGCTTCCTTGTTCCTTGTGCACTGCCTTCGCCGCAATCTCCTAGCGCTCCGCGTGGACCTCTCGGACCGGGGTTGGGCCCCGCTGGCGGGCGGCGCCTCGGACCCCTCGGGGCGAACGGCCCCCCCACCTTTCGCGCCGCCGCGCCCTCCCTTCGCGCGCCGCCCCTCTCCTGGAAGTGGCGCGGGCCCTCGGGCGTGCCGGAGGCGTGTCCGAGGGGCCCGCGGCCTGGCCGAAGACAGGCCCCTCGGGGCCGAGGGGGCCCGCTGCAGGCCTGACTTCGGTACCGCGGCCCGGCCGCTGCCGCCGCCTTGGCGGGTCCCGCTGGGCTCCAGCCGCCCGCGCGGGCCGCCGCCCTCCCCGTGCTGCGAGACGTCGCCTGCCTGCCTGCGTTGGCACCGATCTCGGCCGCGCGTGGGAGTGACCCCGCTGCAGCTGCTGCTGCAGCTGCTGCTGGTGATGATGATGATGCTGATGATGAGGATGATGGGGATGCTGATGATGATGAGGATGCTGCTGATGATGCTGATGATGATGAGGATGCTGCTGACGATGATGCTGCTGATGATGATGATTATGATGCTGATGCTGATGCTGCTGCTGCTGATGATGATGATTATGATGATGATGCTGATGCTGCTGCTGCTGCTGATGATGCGATGATGATGATGATAATGATGATTATGAGGCCGATGATGAGGATGATGACGGTGATGACGGCGATGATGATGATGATGCTGATGATAAGGCTGAGATGGTGATGGTGATGATGATGGTGATGATGCTGATGTGAGACGCTGATGATGGTGGTGTGATGTGATGCTGATGCTGATGATGATGAGCTGATGATGATGATGATGATGATGACGATGATGATGATGATGATGATGATGATGATGATGATGATGATGATGATGATGATGATGATGATGATGATGATGATGTGATGTGGTGGTGATGTTGATGAGGATGCTGCTGATGATGGTGGTGGTGATAATGACGATGATGAGCAGGGAGGAAGACGTAGGAGGGCGGAGGAGGGGAGGAGGGAGGAGGGGAGGAGGTGGAGGAGGAGGAGGAGGTGGAGGAGGAAAGGAGGAGGATAAGGAGGAGGAGGAGGAGGAGGAGGAGGAGGAGGAGAAGGTGCGGGAGAAGAAGGGCGATGAACAAGATGAAGAGAAGGAGGATGCGTTTGATCATGATCAGCAGCAGCAGCAGCAGGAGTAGGAGGAGGAGGAGGAGGAGGAGGAGGAGGAGGAGGAAAGGAGGAGGAGGAAAGGAGAATGAGGAGGAGTGAGAGGGGGAGGACGATGGGGAGGAGGAGGCATATACACTTGTGTGTGTGTGCCGCTCATGGATGTTGCGCCTGCCAGCAGGCCGTCCAGCGCGATCGACGCGTTTCGCATCGCCGAGCCTCCGGCCGATAGCCGCGCCGCGTGCACTGGCGTCAGGGAGGCCTTCTCCCCGGACGCGCTGGGCGGCCCAGGGCCCATAGAACCCACCCGCTCGCTGGGCTGACTGCCTCTCCTCCCGTCCCGCCCTTCCTCTGCCCTGTCTCCCCCCCCAGCTTCCGCCTGATCCTTCTCCGCCTCCCCCTCCTCCGCCTCCTCCGCCTCTTCCTCCTCCTCCTCCTCATCCTCCTCCTCCGCCTCCTCCGCCGCCCCTCCTTCTCCGTCTACTGGGCTGGGGTAGCCGCGCGGAGGCGCGCCTGGGCGGCTTGCTCGGAGGACTCTCGGAACCCTCTTCCACCCCTCCTTGGAGAGCACCTTGAACCCCTCCTCCGGTCCCCCCCTGCCACGCCCCCTCTGGCGTCGATTGTTTCGATGGCGTGGGAGGGGTCCGAGGCGCGAAGGAGGGCGGTGCCTGAGGAACTGGCGCTCGCCTCCCGGCGATAAATGGGGGTGCAGAAAGGTACACCTTTCGCACACCTTAGGGCCTTAGGTTCTCCAAAGGGGGCCACGAAAGGTGCACGTTCTCTCGCCCTTACGCATCGCTTCCCCATTGAGCAACGCCCAAGCCCTCCCTCCCTGCCGCGCGCCCCCCCCCCCAGGCGGGCGCGTGGGGCTGGTGTCGCAGAAGGGGAAGAAGTCCCTGCCCAACCAGGCCCGGCGGATCATGGGTTGTCGATCCAGGCACGCCGATCTTGGCCGAGCCAATCCTGGGCACCTGGCTCGGCGTGCACACGCCCTCCTGCCACGGCCAGGAGGGCGTGTCGCCGACCTTGGGCGTGGCTGTGGCCGGCGCGGGCGAGGGGGGCGTATGCACCGATCTTGCGGCCATGGTGCTGCCCTGGGGAGTGCCAGCTGTGGCACGGGGAGGGGCTCTTCTGCCCACGGCGAGCCTCGGCCACGAACGGGCTCCCCGCCGAGGAGCGGCCCGGGGAAGAGCCAGAGCCCCTCATGGACCCGGAGTGGTCCCTCCTTGCAGCGCCTTGGCTGTGCATCAGCCCCAGGGCCCAGAGGAGGCCTCGGCGGGGCCGGCGTGTGCTGTGTGGGCAGCGGGGCGCCTTCGAGTAGGACACGGCGTTCTACCTGAGCTTCGTGGACGCGGACGGCTCCGAGGTGTGGCTCGCGTGCGTGATGGACGTCGGAGGGCACCAGATACACACCTACACCGATCCTGGCCAGGCCGATCCTGGGCCCGGGATCGGTGTGTGTGTGTGTGTGTGTGTGTGTGTGTGTGTGTGTGTGTGTGTGTGTGTGTGTGTGTGTGTGTGTGTGTGTGTGTGTGTGTGTGTGTGTGTGTGTGTGTGTGTGTGTGTGTGTGTGTGTGTGTGTGTGTGTGTGATGTGTGTGTGTGTGTGTGTGTGTGTGTGTGTGTGTGTGTGTGTGTGTGTGTGTGTGTGTGTGTGTGTGTGTGTGTGTGTGTGTGTGCGCCTTCCTGCCCAAGCCAGGAGGCCGCGTGCCCCGAGCCTGGGCCCAGGATGAGCCAGGCCAGGGTCGGTGCAGGCCCAGACATGCGCCCTCCTGATTGTTTCAGGGCGGCGCCCCGCGAGGGCCCCCAGGGGGCCGAAGACAGCCAGACGGGAGCCCTCGCGATGTTCTGACGACGCGAGCACGTCTGGGGGTGTGCAGGTGGCGCCCCCCCCAGGACGGGCACGGGCCCCTGGGGCACGACATGTCGAGGACGCCGGCGGGCCGAGCGCCCCGGGGGCGGCGAGCGCGGCGGTCCAGGAAGAGGAGGAGGAGGAGGAGGAGGAGGAGGAGGAGGAGGAGGAGGAGG